TTATTTTTCCAGTCTTTTCATTTTGTTTTGTTTGAGACAAGGTCTTGCTGTGTTGCCCAGGCTGGTATCCAACTCCTGGGATCAGGCATTCACCTGCCTAAGCCTCTGATGGGCTGAGGTAAGCTCCAAACATCCTTAGCCAGGTGGTTGCGGACCTGCCTGCCTGAGCTGGGGTGCTGGGGATACTGTGCTGGACAGACATTGTCCCCTGACCCAGCCCTAACTGCTCATCCTTCTGCTGTGGAGACCATGAGATTTGACATGTACAGTTCATGCCAGACAACATGCTGGGCAAGGATGGGCTGCGTATGTGACAGGATCCCACAAGATCATAATGCCAGTGCTATTGCTGCCATCTTGGTTCGTGTTAAGTGCCCTCTGTGGCATTTACACACCAAGGAAATCGACTAACCACCAGGAATGGTGGTGCAAGCCCAGAATTCACAGCACTCCAGAGGCTGAGGCAGGAGGATCACAAGTTCTAGGCTACCCTAGGCTGCACAGCAAGTTCAAAACTGGTCTGAACTACACAGCAAGAGCCTGTCTCAAAAAAGAGACAAGAGCTGGCCTCAAATGAGTAGTGATCCTCCTGCCTCAGCCTCCTAGAGTGCTGGAGTTACAGACTTGTGCCATCATGCCTGGCTCAGCAATACTCTTTAAATCCAGGGAAACTGCTAAGATCATGGTGGTGAACACGTTTTCCAATATTTGAATTTTCTCACAAAAGCTGGAATCTTATCGGTAGCAAACATGCTTGGCTGTTTTCCTTGAGGTGGCTGGCTCACTGCTAGTATTTTAGACTGTTGGCCACATACCTGGATATGAATAACTGGTCTGTATGTCAGTTTATCAGTCAATTGTCCTTTCTCGTGGAAATGGCACAAGAGGAAAGAGGCCAGCTGGACGCAGGAACTGCACGGGGGTCTTCCAGAGGCGACATTCTGGCTTCACACCTGGCACATTTCCACCCCTTCTGCCACAGGATTTTAAAATGTCCTGGACGTGGGGGTGGAGATGTCATAAAACTGCTAATTGGGCTTCATGGTCCAGCGATTCATGTTAACTGATTTCCTTCAGGGCCTGTGCGGGAGTGGCAGGGATGGATAGGCAGGGACATTTCGGCTCGGCTCGGTGCTTCATGCCTACAGGGCTCATGGGCACATTACCTTCTCACTGCTAGTGCTGATATCCACACTGAAGCTGGGCAAGAGGATCCCAAGTTGGAGCCCAATCTGAGCAATGTGGTGACTTTGCCAGACCCTGTCTCCAAATAAAAAGCACTGGGGATGCAGCTCAGGGTGCAGGCGGGCCTTGCTCCCCAACCGTCTGCCTCCCAAACCTGGCTCCCTGTCCCCATGGGTTATGGGTTCTTTCACTCAACGAAGACAGAAACTACAAATTGCCAAAGAGCAGCTCTCTCACCACCCTGGGCTTTGCATGCCAAATGCCAGCAGCTTCAGTGTTGACAGCTCTGGGCCTTGGCACTGCCAGGTGATACCAGCTGATGCCAGATATGACTGGGCCAGTTGCTGGTCTGCTGCTGCTGCTGGCTACAGGTTGATGCCAGCTAAGGCTGGATGTCCTCACTCAACTCCCGGTCGGCACTCTGCCAGCTGCTCTTCGGGGGCTGAAACCCGAGTGCTTAAGAGCTTTTCAAGCAGCCTCTCTGTCCACACTACTCAGGGTAAGAAGCCCAGGTGGTTTCATAGGAATCTCTAGGCCCAAACTACCTAGGAAATAAATCAGGCTGGACCCCTGGAGCAAGGCTTTGAGCAGAAACTGTGCTGGGACCAAGGGGGACCAGGACATCAGAGAGAACCTTCTAGCTCTGTTAGAAGAGGGCAGTGTAGCTCATATAGCAGCTGCAGGCCTGTGATTGGCCTACATTTGAGCCTGCTAATTGGCCCAAACTGACCTAAATTCATGCCTTCTGTACAAGCCTACTGATTGGTCTAAATTCAATTCTGCTGCTAGGTTCAAATTTGAGCCTTCTGTGGTCAAGGCATACATTTCCAGGGGAGTGGGTACTGGTGTCCAGGACAGGGATCAGGACAGGGAGCTCTTTGACAGCTGTCACTCTCAGCAAATAGTGGCGGGGTTGAATCAGGGTCATCTGCAGGAGAGCTGGCTGGATCACCGGAGCTGGGGGCAGCCTGGGGTGTTCATAATTAGCCCCCCCATCTCAGTCACATCAGGTGCAATATCCCCACTGCTTCAGAGAGGTGACAGTGGCTGGGGGTGGGAGTGGGGAGCAGCCTCAGTGGTCTGAGGGCTGTGGTCCTTCACAGGGAAGGGGAAGGGCAGCGGCTCCTGTTAGATGGGGCATGGTGCATGCGGCCCCTGCCTCCCTGGCCCTGAGCTGCTCATTGCCTATGGTTTGCAGCACACACATGTGCAGTGTGAATGTGCTGCCCTGTGGTTTCCCTGCAATGGCCCAAAGGTGAGGACATTGCTCTCCCCACTCAATGACAGCACCCCGAACCTTTCACCATAACCGGTAAATGCTCATCAGTGAGTACCGAGGTCCTCCGTCACAGACAGGCAACATCCCCATTCTCAGTTCTAGCAAGGCGCAGCGTGGCCTTTCTACAGTGGACTCCAGCGGCTGGGCTGCATAGAGGCTGTGCGAGGCCCCCCAGAAGTGGGGTGACCAGCCTCTCCTGGGCGGGGCGAGAAGGAAGAGGTCCTTAGAACTTCCACAACCTGAGGCACCTGAGTCCCTGCCTCCCACACTCCTTTCTTCAGCCAGCACCTGGCAAGGGACTTGGCCCCAGACCCTTTCCTGGGTGGGTCACAAGGGTGCCCACCCTAGCTTTGGGGAATCCCAGAAGCTCTGGCTCACTTTGGCCCAGGGAGCCCTATGTGTTTCCTGGGAGGAGGAAGCCAGGCGACTGTAGATACAATGCCATGTTCTCCCCTTTCCCACTAGACAAGTGGGTCCCTTTGTCTGGGGGCCCAAGGGAGCCCTCAACGTATAGGCACTTGTCCCATGTGGGGGATGCCAGCCAAGCCAGCGACCGACAGGCTGGGCCCACAGAAAGGTGAGTGCTGGGAAGCCACAGCCCCATGGGGATTGGGCTCCCCAGTACCCCACTGTGGGCCAAAGGCACCCAGGTCCTGACAGGGAGGGATGAGGGATGCAGGGTGCTGAGGGGCATTGCCAGATCACTAGCCTGCTAACAAGGGAAATTTGGGGTGCAGACCTGCCCCTCTCCCATCATCCTTTGGGTGACCTGTGTGTCGCTTGGCATTTCTGCCTACTTTTGCCATCTCCTTTCAACCTGCTCCCTCAGGCTCTGGGATGAGGTAGATGAATCTTCCTTATTCTTCCTGCACAGGCTTCTCACCTGGATCTCAACCCCACCCGTCCCACCCTCTACCTGGCCTGGGCTTCTCTAATTCCCAAACTAACCACAGCCCAGACTGGGCCCACAGAAGGACCCTGGGACACAGACAGAAGGGACAACCTGACCAGGGGCCTCACCCCACCCCTGGGCCATGACTGGCTTGGGCTTCTGGCTCAGCAGCGCCTCTTCCTGCCTGGGCTGGTTAGTTCTAGCTGGCCAGGGTAGAGATGGGCAGGAATACACAGCCTAGGGTATCCATGCCAAGGGCCCCCAGCTCTGGGATGGGGAGGGTCTCTGCAGGTCTCAGGGCCACAAGTCCCCCACTCCAGTGGAGAGGGCAAGAGCAACCTCCAGGCAGGACCCCAGATGGACCTGGGTACCGGGGGGGGGGCACACGGGTCTCCATGGCAACTTGGGGTTCCTATAGGCTAGGGTGGGAGTGTGAAGAGGGTGTGAGCAGGAGGGCATGTTTCAGTCAGGGTCAGGCAGAGTGGGTTCCCACAGACCCCTGGCTCCTGGTTATTTGGGCTCCAGCGGGCCCAGGGTAGCACCTGGACACTGGCATGGCAGAGGAGTCTCGTGTGGAAACCCAGTGGTCAGGGAACCTCCACCACCTCTGTCCCAGCCAGTCCTACTAGGTGCTGTTCTGACGGGGAGCTTGCTCCCCCGTGAGCAGTCAGCAGCACCGAGGCTTATTCCAGGGAGCAGAGGGAGCCTTCCCTGTGTGGACCATCTTCACAAACCAGGACAGGGCAAAACCTCTGCCCAGCAGCTGCTGCTCCAGGCTGCCTGGATTCTGGAGCCATGCAGGGCCAGGGTCTAGTCAGCTGGCTCCGGCCTTCAGTCCCGGCCCTCACCTGACCTGCTGTTGGCTCACACCATGGCTGCCCAGTTCTGAAGGTGCCTCCCTGGGTGGGGGCAACCTGATCACCTCACCTCTTCTTCTAATGATCGCTTCTTCCCACTTTTGGAAAGAGGACAACGAGAAACCGAAGCACTGGGCTGGGGTACAAAGCAACTGACAAGAACATGAAGCAGAATGAGATCTACTGGGAAGCCATGTGCATGACAGCGCTGAGCCACCTGCCACTCCAGCCTAACCCAGTGGCAGTGCCACACTGTCCCTCACACAGGGTGGTCAGGGCTGCAGACCCTGCCTGTAGAGACCCCCACCTCATGTCAACACCTTCCGTTGGGCCAGGCCTGCCCCTGTGATCAGGGTCCCAGGGCCACCACACCAGGCTGCTTCAGGAACCGACTTGAGCCCTGCTGCAGGCAGGGGATCTGGGCCCTCAGGACTGCCTGAGCTCTGCTCACTCAGGTGTCTGCCTCCCTGCCAGGCTGGAGTGGAGCCCATGTCTCCCGCCATAAGGGCCCTGGGTGCCTCTCCAGAAGCCGTTTGGGTCGGGGAGCACATCAGGCAACAGGCAGGTGACCGCCCCCGCACAGGCCAGGCCCTGCAGCCACACGGCTGTGGTGCCCAGGGGTATGGAGCAAGTGTCACACATCTCCTTCTGCTCAGAGAGGCACTAACTGGTGGGTGTCAGGCCCACCAGTGATGCCAGGCAGAGTGGGTGGCAGGGCCAGGCACCAAGTGCACCCTGCTTCAAGGAGTGTGGGGTGGAGGCAGAGCACACAGAACAGCAGCAGACAGCCATGGATAACTTTGTTTATAGGTCAAGCCAATACAATGCAAAGTTGTTTTTGTTCTTTTGCTTTTTAACCAAAATAAATAAATCGGATCTGTCCCTGTGGAGGTCAGAGCAAGGGGACGAAGGGCCGCTGGCGCACCCTGCCTCACCCTGCTCCTGCTCCTGACCTGCTTTGGCACAGCGAAGAAGAGGATGCACAGACATCTCCGCTGTGCTCCAGGGAAACAGCAGGAAGGAGTGGCTAAGGCTGGGGGTCACAGGATACTGCCCCCGAGCCCAGCCTGGGGCCCTCAGAGGGTGGCAGAGATGAGCACTGTACAGCCGCACATGCCTCACTGTGCCACATGCTGTGGCGCCCTCACCCGCAGGGAAGCCCACTCTGGGAAGCCCTGGGTCTGCCCGGTGGGAGGCAGCTACCCCCAGTCCTGGTGGAGTGTCTGCACCTTGCCAAATGCAAAGACTGTGGGGAGCTGGGGAGCCACCAGAGGCCCTGTTGCTGTTTTGGGTGAGAGGTCAGGAAGGCGGGGTCCCAGCCATCCTCCTGCTCCCCACCATCACGGAGGGCAGCAGGTGGCAGCCGAAGGCCGGAGAGAGGGAGGGTACAGTGCAGTGAAGGGGTGGTCAGTGCCAAGGCTCAACTCTTTACTGAAGCAGGGTGGTGTGATAGGGGCCAAGCCGAGGGACCCTGGAGCGTCTAGGAGAACTTCTTGAAGGCGTCCAGGTCAAAGGCCGTGTCCAGGAAGCGCTGCAGCTCCGTCAGATGGGTCTTCTTGTTGCCAGTGGCCGGGGCAGCGGCTGGGTCTCGGCCCACGTACCTGAGCAGGGACAGAGGGACAGTGAGGGCAGAGGCCCCGAGCATGCCCACCCTCCTGCGACAGCAGCCCCACCCTTGCCTCACCAGACAGGCTTGGCACGGTCGATGGTGGTCCGGAGCCGAGGCTTCACGTAGTCGTAGTAGCCCTGGTTCTTGTGCTCCTCCTGGCACCACACCAGCTCGGCACTGGGGTACTTCTGAGCCTCCTTCAGCAAGAGGTCGAAGGGGAATGGCGACAGCTGGAACAGAGCAGGGCTCGGGTCAGGAGGGGGCACTCGGGAGTGGGGGACAGGTCAAACGGGCTGTGACCCTTGCTCACCTGCTCGAGCCTCGTGATGGCCACCTGCTCTGCCATGCCCCTGGCCTTGCGCTCCCGCGTGAGGTCATAGTACACCTTGCCAGTGCAGAAGAGAAGCCTCTTCACCTTGCCTGGGTCCTGGGCCGCAGGGCCGTCTTCTGGGATCACCCGCTGGAAGTGGGTTCCTGCAAGAGAAACCCCATACCACTCTCTGAATAAGCAGAGGACCCACAGGCCAGGGCTGTGCCATGTGCTGCCCATGATATGTTCCCAAGGCTGGAAACGCTTCCCCTCACCAGTCCCAGGCCCTGTGGATCTGCTTGGGCCAGGAGCATATGCTGGACAGGGCGGCTGGGGCAGAGGGTGCCACTGCAGAGCAGCCTGCCACAGACTTTCTGCTCAAACACCATCTGCTTTGCTAAGATGCCTCAGGAGTCTACAAACACAAACACTTATGCCACCAGCAGAGGACACACAGGAGAAACTGCGTTCTCAACAAACGGGCCTACAACAGTGTCTGATGGCAACATGGTCAGGCTGCAGGAAAAACCTAGAGCACAAGTCACACCATGGTTGGAGGCTGCAAGCTACTATCTACAGCCAGGAACTGGGCCGGGGCCCAGGGTGGCCACGCCTGTGTAGAATGGTGCTGGAAATCCTAGCCAGACAAGCAGACGACAAAAAAGAAGTGATATTAAAATTGAAAAGAAACAAGTAAAATGACCACTGCTCACAGGTGATAGGATCTCACATACAGACAACCTAAAGACTGCATAAAAAACAAGAACAAAAAACTGTTAGCTGGGGGTGGTGATGCAAGCTTGTAATCCAAGCTCTCAGACCACAGGTTCAAGGACAGCCTGGGCAACTTAGTGATCTGAGACTCTGTCCCAAAATAAAACAGAAAAAGAGCTGGAATGGTAGCTGGGTATGAAGGTCCTGTGTTCAATCTCAAGTACCACAAAAACCAAAAACTAAACACAGGCTGAGTTTATGGAATGGAAGACTTCAGACTTTAAAGGGCAATTCTACGCACTCTACCCTACTTAACACAATCTCTACAAATAGAATATTTGACCCCAAAATTCATATAGAAACCAGGAAGGGAATGTAGCCCAGGATCAACCTCCCAATAGCCAGATTTCCAACAGGTGCCAAGGGCACTCAACAGGAAAGAACAATCTCCAACAGATGGTACCGGGAATACTGCAAATACACAGGAAAAGAATGAAGTCTGAACTTTTATTTGACAGTATATACAAAATTAACTCCACTGAGTCAAAGAACTAAATACAAGAGCCCAAACTACAAAACTCTTAAAATAAAGGATTATAAAAAGGGCCAGGGATGTAGCTCAGATGAAGGCCCTGGACTCAATCTCCAGTACCACAACAAAACAAAAAAGGGCAGAGGCTGGGGATTTAGCTCAGTGGTTCTGCCACCTGCTTTGCAAGCACAAGGTCCTGAGTTCAATCCCCAGTACCAAAAATAAATAATAATAATAATATGTTTGGGCTGGGGATTTAGCTCAGCGGTTTGGTGGCCTGCCTCACAAGCACAAGGACCCGAGTTCAATCCCTGGTACCAAAAAAACACAAAAACAAAAACAAAAAAAAAACCCCCAAAAAACAAAAAAGGGCAAAAACTTCACAACATTGGACATGGCACTGATTTCCTGAATACGACATCAAAGGCCAAGCAACAAAAGACAAATTGAACTTTATCAAAATTTAAAAACTTTCATATATCAAAAAGATATTGTCGAGGGCCAGGGATTTAGCTCAGTGGTTCTATCACTTGCCTCGCAAGAAGAGCAAGGACCTGAGTTCAATCCCTGGTACAAAAACAAACAAATAAACACACAAAAAAAACTCATAAAATGAGAGAAAACACTTGCATATTACTTATCTGATAAAGGATTAATAAGCAAAATATGAAAACTTCAAACTCAGCAAGAAAAATGAACCCAATTTGAAAATGGGCAAAGGATTTGAACAGACAATTCTTCAAAGACATACAAATGGCCAACAAACATATGAAAGGATGCACAGTGCCACCAATTATTAGAGAAATGCACATTAAAGCCACAGAGATGCCATTATACAACAAAATGGCTGCTTAAAAACACACCCACAGCAAGGTAAGTGTGCTGGCTCACACCTGTAATTCCAGCACTCAGGAGGCTCGGGAAGGATTGCTTTGAGTTCAAGGCAGGCCCGGGCTACCCAGTCAGACCCAGATTCAAAAAAGAAAAGAAAACAAACAAAAAAAACCAAGCCCCAAACCCCAAAACACACACACAAAAGCCCCACAAGGGTTGAGGATGTGGAGAAATTGGACCCTTTTGCAGAACTGATGTGGAAGAGTCTGGCGGCTCCTCAGAAAATTAAAAATAGAATTAGCATATGGCCCAGCAACTCCACTTCTGGGTACACACACCCAGAACTGAAAGCAGAGACTTGAGAAACATTTGTACACCTGTGCTCAGAGCAGCATTATTCACAAGAGCTAAACATGGAAACAGCATGTGCGTTCACCGATCAATGCACAGAAAACAGAGTGTTGTCATCCACAGAATGAAACGCCGCTCACTGCCACATGGGTCAGCCTTGAGGACACTACCCAGTGAGATATGCTGGCCACAGGAAGACAGGTGCAAGCTGAACAGCCTTGATCTGACAATCCAGTGGATGTGCTCCAGAATCGGGACTTTCTGACTACTGGTACAAGGCCCAGTGCAAAATTCCACATCCTACCTCCTGTGAGAGGTGCACTCAAAAGCAGGCCTGCTAAAAGATTACGTGAAATGCCCCACAGACCGCCTGAACACGGAGCAGACATGAAGCATAAATGAATCTCAAATTGAGACTTGGGTCTCATTCACAAGGTGTCATTACGTATATGCAAGTATTCCAAACTCTGGAAAAATCTAAAATCCAGAACTCTTCTGGTCCCAAGCATTTTGAGCAAGGGGACTCAATTGTACTGTCTGGGGGAGAACAGGGGGTTCCCTCTTTAGTGCATACTGAGTTCCTGTTTTGCTGAATGTAAAGAGCTCAGGAAATGGATGGTGAAAGTGGCTGTATAGCAACATGAATGTACTTAACGATGCTGAACTGCACACTTAGAAGATCACAACAGTAAATTTATGCTGTATTTTACCATTTAAAAAAACTGAGAAGTGGGCCAGGGATTTAGCTCAGTGGTTCTGGTACCTGCCTCGCAAGCTCAAGGACCTGAGTTCAATATTTGGTGCCAAAAATAAATAAATAAGTGAGTGAGTGAGTGAGTGAGTGAGTGAAAGCTGAGAAGTGACCAGAGAAGGCACTCATTTTGACAGAAGCCTCAAGGGAGCTTGGTGGCTGGGAGATGCAGACATGGCGCTGTAATCTCAGTCACTCAAGTGCTTCCAATGCAGCTCTGGGGATGCTCACAGGTGACCAGCAGAGCCCACAGGTCCTCACCCCACAAGCACATGTGCAGCACAAGCCTCAGGGAGGTCACAGGCACAGTCAGTCCCCAAGGAATGGCAGAGAGCTCCAGGCTTTCCACCCTCCCCAGAAGGGCCTGCCCCTTATACCTACCTGGGAGCATCTCATCAAAGTTGGTTCTGGCCTCAGGGTGGCGCAGGAGGGATTTAGGGGTGAAGACGATTAACTGAAAGACAGAATTATCTGGTGGTGATGAACTAGTCTTCTATTCTAGAAGGCTGACAATAAGGCCTACCCACACCCCTGCTCAGGACTGGACAGGATGCACTTCCTCTTCACTCTTCCCGGGAGCTCACTCAGGAGAGGCAGAGAAGGGGGCCTGTCTTTCTGCTCATCACTTCCCCTCAGCAGGTGTCTGCCTCCTGCAAGGCTATCCTAGTCTGAGTTCCTGCTCATTGGCCTTGGAGTGAGAGCCCCTGTGAGGGCTGTGACAAGGCCTTGGGCCACATCCAGCAGGCTCTCCTGGATCCCTCCACAACCCCTCATCCTTCTAGATCTTTTTCTCACTCGCCCTTCATGCCCAGCTCAGGGGCTCTTCCTGGGGCCCTCCATCCCTTTGGCCTCACCTTTCCCACGATGACCTGTTCATGTTCACAGATGCCTCCCCACAAGGCCCGGCCTACAATTGCGCCTGACCGGGCACAGCAGTAAGGCTGTGCTGCCCTGGTGGCAGAGAGGGGGCCAGGCTCCCTGACACCACATCCTGTCCATGTCCCTTGCAGGAGGCCACCTGACCAAGCAGAGCGCGAGGCACCCAGAAGGAATTTCCTGGTGCCAAATAATTCTGAGGCCAGAGGTGCCAAGCAGGGCCCTGGCACTGACCGGCTTCCGGAAGGGCAGCAGGATCTGCCGGCGCAGAACGTGGAAGAAGTTGCCAGGTGTGGAGCAATTGACAACCACCCAGTTGCAGTCGTACAGCTGGCTGATGTCGAAGTTGGCTCCCATGAGGTCCTGCGACAGAGGAAGAGCAGAGGTAGAGGCTGTGCCGAGCATTCTGGGTGATGGGGCAGGGCATGAAGGGGCCTGGAAATACCCTCAGGTACCCACTCTAGGGCAGGAGCTGAGGACCTGAGCCCTCCACCCCTGTGACTGTCTGCAGGCTGCTGCCCAGGATAGAACAGTGCCATTTTAGGAGGCCTGAGTCCTACCTAATGATGATTCTACTTTTTCTTACAGACAACTCCCAATCACTTTCTTTCAGCTCTTTTAAAGTTGCCGAAAGTTCTCTTCTCTATGGGGCCTGGCTGAACCCAAGCAGCAGCAAATTTCCCTGGGAGGGCCTGCTGCTGTGGGAGACAGCAGTCTCTGGGAAAAGAGCCCCTGCATTTCAGCTTCCTGGGCGCCTGACAGCCCTCATCTGGGGTGACCAGCAGGCGCAGGGCCACACTGCAGGTCCTAGGAGGAACGGTGTCCTTACCGGGAGGACGTCTGGGTCGTCATTGCACATCTGCAAGAAGCGCTCTGGTCGGGCAGAGGAGTGCTCTGGGCCCTGGGGCAGACACACAAGTCAGCAGAGCTGCACAGGCTGGCAATGCAGCACTGGCTATGTCTCCTTATTCTGTTCTTGTCCCCTGATGGCAGGTGCCACATGCCTCCCCTCCAATGGCAAAGCACAGGGCACAGGCTGAGAACATCATTTTCTTTACACAACTGTGCATGCAGGGATGGATGCACTGGTCCTATGACCTCCAAAGCAATGCTCTGTCTGAGATGAGCAGGAGGCACCAGGACAGCCTTGGGCAGTGGGATCCCGAGCTGGTGAGGAGGGGTGGAGCTCACCATGCCCTCCATGCCATGTGGCAGCAGCAGCACGATGCCATTCTGCCGCACCCACTTGGCCTGGCCTGGACAGATGAACTGGTCGATGATGCACTGGGCCATGTTGTTGAAGTCACCAAACTGGGCTTCCCAGAGCACCAGGGCGTTGGGGCTCGCCATGGCAAAACCCAGCTCAAAGCCTATAATGGAGGAGGACAGACACATTCGACACCAGCCAGCGGGCAGAGGTGCTTGCTGTGCACGTGGCATGGGGGGCACTCACCCAGGACACCATACTCAGACAGGGAGCTGTTGCACACAGTGTAGGGGGCCTGGTTTGGCCAGAGGTGGTTCATGGGGATGCAGGTTCTCTTGTCCACATTCTGGTCATGCAGCACATGGTGCCGGTGGCTGGGCACAGGAACAGGATCAGTCAGCACACCCCACTGAGGAGGCCCTGGCTCCCTGCCAGAGCCCTGCTGTGCTCTACTGCATGAGAGCATCCCCAAACCAGGGAGAGGGTGGCAGCCCCCACCCGGAATGCAGCCACCTCCTGGAATGCAGCCACCTCCTGGAAAACAAGCCCCTGAGGCCCTCCTCCCAGCTCTGGTTCTGGAGAGCAGGCAGACTCTGTTACCTGAAGGTGCCCCGCTCTACATCCTGGCCGCTCAGTCGGACGTGGATGCCCTCCTTGAGGAGTGAGCCAAACGCCATGTATTCTGCCAGTGCCCAGTCCACAGTCCGGTTTGTCACCAGCTCCTTGCGCGTCTTCAAGATCCGGCTCAGGCCTGCAGGATATGTACACTGCCCTGCAGCCCAGCCCATATGGCCCTTGACTCCACAAGCCTGGAAATGGCGGGGCCTCCTCACCAGGCCTCTGTCGCTCAGCAGGTCAAGACCTCGCGATGGGCAGTGTGGGGAGATGGACTTCAATGAGGGAGCCCCTGCAGGGCTCCAGTCAAGCCCTCCTGGTTACCTCCATGGATGGTGAAGTTCTCCACGGGCACAGAGCTGGCCACGCTCCCGATGTGTGTCAGGACATCCTCCTCCAGGCCAGTGGAAGGGCAGGACATGCTCCGGGGCTGCCCATCCAGGGTGAAGAAGCCTAAGAGGTGAGAAAAGGCTGAGGCAGGCTGCCTGCTTGGGAAAGGACTTCTACAGTTGCAGGCCACTAGGAACTGCTGCACGGTCACATGGGGAGCCTCAGTGTAAGGGCCGGTGGTGCAGTACTCGCTGTGTTAGGCATGGAGCGGGGCATGGTATTCTGTTCTGGGAAAAGGGCTCAGCGTCACATTGTGTTCAGGTTCACAGTGGGTCTATGGAGTGGATGCCCTGCTCACCAGGCCAGGGGGAGTCCAGCCAGTGCTTGATGTGCAGGATCTTCTCATCTTTGGATCTGGTGAAGGCCTCCTCGCAGATCTTATCATACTTGGAGATCTCCTCCTAGGAGGTGGAGGACACATAACCACAGGAGCACAGCATGGTCACTTGGCCTCCTGCCCACCACGCTATGTACAGTGTGAGACCCTAAGAAGCCTCTGACACTTGGTCTCAGCCCTGAATTTCCTCTCCATGTATGTCGGCAAGAAGTGCTGCTTGAAGTCTGAGCTCTGAGCTCCATATTCTATGCCTTAAGAATGGGCTGGGTTCTCCCAGTTCCTCTGCTGCCTGGGAGGATTGGGCTCTACCCAGAGCTGTGTCTCTGGCCACTGCCCTTGGGGGCACGGTCTTGGACTGTCCTGTGTAGCTCCTCACACTACCTGCACAGCCTTCCATATACCCAGCCAGGACTTCCTCTCCACAGCACACTGAGCCCCTTCCCTAGCTCTCACCCGGCTCTCACAGTAGTAACTTTAAGAGAAACTGCTGCAGCTGCTACCTTGTCTACAAAACACCTTTTACTCCCTGCAAACACTGCTTTAAGGCCTACCTCCTTTAAAAGCATCTTAGGAGCCTGGACCCTCCAGAAGTTGTGTGCTGAAATGTGATAGCTGTAAATATTTCATACATTTCTGCTGGGGTCCTACTGGACTAGTTTTGTAATGGGCCTTTTGTGCGTTCCCCCCACCATCCTGGAAGGGCTGCCAGGACCACACCTCGTATTCAGGCTGGTTGACCACGCCCTGAGATACCAGCAGCTCGGCATACTTCTGCAGCACTGGCTTCTGTTTTCGGATCTGCTTGTACATGAGCGGCTGTGTGAACATGGGCTCATCCATCTCGTTGTGGCCGTTGCGCCGGTAGCACACCTGGGCAGCAGAGGCAGGCAGCATGAGTGGCTGTGGCAGCCTCCCAGAGAGGGTGCATAGGGGCACCGCCGAAGAACATGCCTCATGCTGCCCAGTCTGGGAGTACAAACTACTGATTCACTGAGCAATCCCATGACAGGACCAGCAGCAGCAGGCCCTGCCTCATCAGCCCACTGCTCCTGCCTGGGGAGCACGCAGGAGCAGCTGGGTTTGAACACCCCAAGTGGATCCCCATGAGGCCAGGTTCTGGAGAGCCCCAAGGGCACAGGGGTGCAGGGTGAGGTGTGAGGGGCCGGCTCCCCTGGCACCACTCACCAGATCAACAACCACGTCCTTGTGGAAGGTAGTTCTCCACTCAGCCGCCACCTTGCACACATACATGACTGCCTCGGGGTCGTCAGCATTCACATGGAAGATGGGGGCGTTCACCACACGGGCCACATCAGTGGGATAAGGGGAGGAGCGTGCCATCCGGGGGTCTGTGGTGAAGCCGATCTGCAAGGAACACACGTGTGACAAGGGCCTGCAGGGGAGGCTGGGCCTGTACCTCCTGCATGGCTACACCAGCTAGAAATACCAGATGGCCACGGAGGCGTCTTTCCTCCTTTTTGCTTTTTACTGTTTTGATGACAAAAATAAATCTATGTAAGTTCACCATAGAGAATAGAGAAGAGACAGCACAAAAATTAAAGTTACCTATAATTCTACAGGCTACAGTATAAATATCTTGACCTCTTCCTTTCCAGATTATTTCCTTTGTACATGTACCTGTGTACATATACATACATACATACATACACACATACACTTAAAGTCTGGGACCTTATTTCTGTAATTTTGCATTGTATTCATTTTATATGGTGAGCATTTTTTTTCTTTTCTTTTTTTTGGGTACTGGGGTTTGAACTCTGGCCCTTGTGCTTGTAAGGCAGGCAATGGAATCACTGAGCCAAATCCCAGGCCCTGAGCATTTTTTCTTTGAAAAGAAAATATAGAGTTTGATTCCCAATACCAAAAAAAAAAAAAAAAAAAAAATTAAAT